GAATTTACCGTTAGTTGTTTGCGTTTATAGAAATTTCAAAAAACTTGTGGTTTCGGAAATATAAGGTATCAAAAATTCAAATTTTACAAATTTGAAGAGGCAATAACTTGAGAGGGGAGAGAGATAAAAAAAAATTTTCTTCTAACAAAATGAAGTATTTATTAATGTCTAAAAGATCCTAAAATTTCAAGCTTCTACAGGCTGGGGTGTAGAAGAAAAAGCACATAAAAAATTTGAAAAAAAGGGACTTTAGATAACGGTAAATTTAAACGGCCATTTTGTTTTTCTAAAGTTTAACTATAGTATACCGCGCGACAGGAAGCAAGCCGCTGCCTTTATACGTTTGCAAAATTTCAAAAATGCTTATGGTTTCATTGCAACAAATAGTTAAAAAGGGCCATTTGTAGGGTTTTAGGGGGGTATAACTTCTAGATGGGGGGAGATAGGTAAAAATTTTGTTCTACGGAAATAAGTTTCTAGTAAAGGTCTATGTAGATGTTAAATTTCAGCTTTCTACCTTCAAGGGTGTAGAAGTTTTGTAAACAAAAAAAGTGTCCACGGACGGACGGACAGAGTGACGATCGAGTCTTCTTCTACTTCTGTCTACAATAAAACGTACTTTAAATTTCCGCAAAGAATCTTAACCTTAAGAGTAGCCTTACTAAGCCGAAAATTATATCAATTATTTTAAAACCAAACTGCTACAAAATACATAAATTTTATAATAAATTATAGTTTGTTGCAGCAAGTTAATCAACAAATTCAGGAAAAATTCATAAAAATAAACTTTTTTATATACATACATATTTTATTTATTAATAATATAGACAATAATTATAAATTAATAATTACCTTTAATGTCAATATATTTTGAAAAACACTTAAACAACAGAAGGTAAAAAATACTTAGTATTGAAATCAATAAAATTTTATTCCCGCCTTGATTTATTTTTATACTGTCATACAACCGCATGTATTTTTTTATTTTTTTATTTTTTTTCTACATTTACACACCACCACCAAAGATTATTTTGAAATAAATAACAATCCCTAAATAAAGCAAAATTTTATTGCTATAAATAATAATAACAATGTTAGTTAAGCTCATTCCTACAAATAAAACTAGGTGCCACCTACTGTTTAACCCCACTACCATCATTACAAAAAGAAAAAATTAATTTATTATGTACAAAAAAAAAATCGAAATAAAATCAAAACTAAATAAATTTACACCAACAATAAGAATAAAACATGAAATTTAAAGCAAAATTATAACAAAACAAAAACAAAAAGTCAAAATGAAATAAAAAGAATCAGTAAAATTCAATAGTAACGAGAAACCTACAGGCAACAACAACAACAACAACAAAAACAATAGAAGAGAGGCACAGAGAAAGATTTAATTTGTGTTTTGAGAATTTCGTTTTTTACTTTTTTTTCCCATTTTTCTTTTTGTTTTGTTGTATTGCTATTGTTATTATTATTTTGTTTTTGTCGTTTTTATTATTTTTGATTTAAAACCGAACCGGGTGGTTCATTAAAAACTCAACACCTTAATTTTAACATTTCCCTTTTTACTCTTGTTTCGGTATGTATTGGTTTTTTGTATTTTTTTTTTTGTTTTGTAACTCTTTTATAGTTTTGATTTTACCCTAATAATAGTTTTAGTATATCACTTAAGTAAACTCATTAGCTTTTTTTTTTCTAAACATGTTAAAAAGAAACAGCAATATAGATAATAATAACCTTAGAAAAAAGAACCGTAACAAAAAACGGAAGTATGTAAATAAATAAAAATAAGGAAAAGCACCAAAACAAAAAATCCAAAAAATTTTTAAATAAAAGAAAAACCAAAAACAATAAAGAGCGTAAAATCTGAAAAGCGGCGAAAAAAAATATTACTATAAAAAAAAACGAAAATAAATAAAATACCTATACTGAAATGAGCAACAAAAAAAAATAAAAAAGACATCAACAACAAAAAGAGACAAAGAAAAATACGTATAACAGAAAACAACAATAGCAATAACAATTTCGAATGAAACTCATATATTTTTTATTTTTATATTTCTACAACACTCTCTGTGCTACAGTTTATTTTTTTTTTTCATTTTTTTTTTTGTTTCTTTTACATATTTTAATTTTAAGTCCCAGTCCCAAAGCGACCAACCAGAGAACTTGAAAATAAAAAAAAAAAACAAATAATATCAACAAAACAACAACAAAATCAAATATCGAGCACATGAACATTGTATATAAACATATGTATATACACATACATAATATATTTAGTAAAAGAAAAATAAAATATACAATAAATATCACCAAACACACAATAGTAGCTGTCGTCACAGTACAAACACCATAGAGATAATATTAAAACAAAAGGCATAACCCCATATATAACGAGTACATGGTACGAATTTAGTTCTAAAGTAAAAAACAGAAATACAAAAAAAAATGTACTACTAACAAAAATAATATTATTTTCTTATAGTTTTGTACAATCTCATGAATTGATTTCAGAATACTACTCATTCACAACATCATCTGCTGTGTATATATATAAGTTTTTTTTTTTTAAGAATTTCTAAAAAGAAATTAGTATGTATCTGATAAATACACCAACACCACATATTATTATATAAAATGAATTTGAGAAAAAAATTATATTAGTGGTTGTGTACAAAGGTAACCAATAATCTAAACAGAAGGTAGCAAATGGGAAAATTTTGAAAAATTTTAATTTATATTGTATATAGAGATTGTACAATATAATAAAATAAGTACAATTACAAATAAAATTTTACTGATTTGCTGAAATGAAAGCCGATTATTCTGGAATTCCACCGCAAAAAAATTACGGCACGAAGAATACACTAGAAACCAAATAAATCAGTCAGAGTATTTAAGGATGGATTCGATTCAATATTTTATTGCTGAAAAGAATATAATATCTATACGATAAAGGTTTGATTTGAATTTTATATAAATATACCGTATGGGGATATATTATATTATATAGAGTAGTGTTGCCCATATTGAAATGTACCTGCAGAGGGAGTATATAAAGCATTGTTTTTAGAAATTTATTGAATTTGGTAAATTAAATCGGGTAATATTTGTGTTGGACATTAAGTAGTAGAAGAATCAGTAGGCTTTATTCATTTTGTACGAGTATAAAAATTAAAAATTTCCACAGTATCGGACCATACTTACATAATGTCAGATGACTTGACTTGATTATAAGATGTAGTAAGTGTATTGCAAATCTGTCAAGGTCAGTTACGAGCTCAATCTAATATTGGTAATTATGATCAGAAAAGACCTTAAAGAGCTTGGCGACGGAGTTTGGAAGTTTTATATTAATGAGATGAGGAATACCTCATTACATTTACTGCTCCTCCTACTGCAATTTTATTGCATAGATAGAATGTGTTAAACCATTAAATTGCTCCAATTCATAAAGGTATAGTTGGTTTCAAAAAGGTCTTGCGAAAAGAACTTCACGTGGGCTATAGTGAATTGTTATTCACCGTAATATATTTTGCTACAAAATCATATACATGTATATATATATATATATATACGTATTATTTTGCTCCAAAAATATTTTTCTAACAAATCCATCTCTTTTTTAACTCTATGAAATTATTCTCCCTTTTTTTTTTCCTCTTATTACTCAACTCTCTTAATTATTTTCTCTTTTTCTCTTTCACCACATTTATATTTTCTATTTCTTTTTTTGTTATGTTACCCAATTTATATTATATTTGTGTGTATATTTTAATACATATACTAAAATTAAATTGAAGAGAAAATGTATATAGGATAAAATATTTACACAAGTACACATCTGATTACTGTAAATTCAGAAAAACTGTATATAATAAATAACAAAAAAATGTTATGTGGTACACTATGAACTGGTAAAACAGCACCATTGTTGCGTTAGTTTCATTTTAATGTACTTTATTTTGTTCAAAAAAAAAATTTTTTTTTTGTGCTTATGTTACTCTCTAAAGAGTCCTATAATAACACACCATCATATCATATTAAATTGAAAGTAAAACAAAAAAAAATAAAAAACAATTTTAGAAACAAAAAGAAAAAATCAAAATTCTCGAAGAGGCGCACCACATCGACGACCATCAACATAACAAATATATTCAAAAAAACAAAAAAAATACAAAAAGGCATTACAGAAAGACACACATTTTTTTTAATCAGTCTACTCTTGGTGCTCAACTGTTCGGGACGTATTTTCATAAGAAAATAAAATATATACCATTTGATACAAAAAAAAAAAATAAAATAGAACGGAGACACGAATATGGGTTCAATAAAAAATAAAAAATTCACTCTGTTCTTATTTTTTTTTATCCTTTTATAAAAATGTGATTTGTATTATGGTCTTTTGTTTTTCTCCTTGTTTTTTTTTTGTATTAATTTTTCATTTTCTTCATATTTATTTACAAACATTTTATTAACGAAAAACAAGAGAAAGAAAAAATAAAATAAAAACATTTGTTTTTTAAAAATAAAAAAAAAATTTTTTATATAATCTTTTGTTTACATTTTTATACAAGTAAACAATGAATTCAATATAAAAAAGAAAATAAATATTATGTATTAAGGATCAAGCAAGGATATAAATTTTTTTTTAGACATTAAAATGTTGTTATAATTAATAATAAATAAATAAATTTAAAAAATGCACTGATTAATTGTTGAAAATTGTCTTCAAAACAAAATAATAATTAAACAAATAAACAATATTAAAAATTATAATTTAAAAAAGAGTTAAAAAAAATGAAATTTGGGAAAAAAAGAAATTTTTTTATTGTGTTTTGAAAATTTTAAAAATTAAAAACAAAAAATTTTAAAATTGATATTAAAAATTTTTTGAAATAAAAATAATTTTAAAAATTAAAATATTCGGTGTTACTACATAATTAAGCAAATTAAGAATATTTTAACTATTATAAAAAAAAATTAAAATGGCTTTAAAAGCAGCTCTTTATCGTGGTCCAAGTTCAAGACTTGAAACATTAATTGAAAAAATTCAAGCAAATAACAAAGAAATTAATTCTGGTAAATTTTATTTTTTTTTTCTTTAATATTAATTATTAATTTTTAATATTTATTTATTTTATAATATTTATTTAAATTACATTTAATTTTAAATAAATATTTAAGAATATAATTTTTAATATAAAAATTATAGTATATGGGATAAATAAAAATATTTCGCCTAAAATTATACTAAATGATTGTGATAAATATTATGCTATGGGATTATATAATTTTACTAAATTATTTATAGGTTCCAAATTGAAAAATTAGATTATGATTGTCTACAATATGCAAAAATTTAAAATAAAAAATAAAACATATAAAAAGGTATATTGTTCAAAAACATGTATGTGAAACAAAATTTTCAAAATTTCCCGGGAAATCTTGTTTTAATCTTTAATACTTGCCACATTGTAAATATTGGTTTACATTTAATCGAATGAAAATTTTTTAAAAATAAAATTTTTAATTTTAACAATAATTTCTTAAAAGATTTATCATTTCAACTTGTGCATGTTGTGTAAATCTCCAATGATTTATAAAATTATTTATAGAAATCTTTAAAATAAAAAAGATTAATTTAAAACTAATTAATTTTAATTTGTAATTTTAGATTATAAATTTTAATATTATTATGCAACTCATTAAAAATTGAAGTCCTTACTACACAAATGTTATATTTTAAGTGCCCGATCTTTAATATTATAATTGTCATATATGCAACTACAAAAATTTGGTTTTTTTAGATATGCAATTTATTTGCTTTTGCAATAAATACGAATAACTCTAAAATTTTATAAAAGTAATTCAAAAATTTCAATAAATTTAAAGAAAAACTTAAAAAATTACTAAGAATTCTAAAAGATATGAGAAATTGTTTTATTCCAACTCTAATATTTAAAACAAAATAAATAAATATCCTTTCCATTAATATATATTTTATGCATTACATACACATTTATACTAGCGTATGTATATAAAAAAATCACAATTTACGATATATTTATTCGAAAACATTAAATATACAGCTGTAATTTACACTGTATGTAATTTTATATATATGTCATACAATGTATGTGTGTATGTAATTTTGTAATAAAAAAATTTCACGTGCATATTTTCTTCTTTTCGTGCATATATATTTTTGACTTAATAGAAATGAATTTACAAACATTTTATATATTTAATGCTATAGTGTATATAATAAAATGCATATGAGCACTCATATATTTTATCTATATATATTATATATTCATTATTATGTATTAATAAAACATATTAAGATATGAATTGCTGCCAAAAATATTATGCTGTACAAGATCGGGCAAAATACGTTTTTTAAATGTTTCTGAAGGTAAAACAAGGCTTTAATTTAATGAAAAATAATGAGCACCTTGTTTGTAAAGCCTCCTATACTTATAATGTCACTTATTCAATTTCTAATTTCAAAGTTTAAGTACGTATTTGAGTAGTATTATTCTAAAACCAAAAAGGACCCGAGCTATTTAAAAAAAAATTTTATGGTATTTATATACAATTCATACCAAACCTTTATCGTATATTTCGAATTTACATTTCGAAAATCTGAAAAATGTTACTTTATATTAAAAGCAAATTTGAAATTATCATTTTATAGAGAGCCCCGAATTATAAGTATAGAAAAGTTTTAAATGTGATTTTATTTAAAATCCAAGAAGAATTGATGGAATTGTAGATTTCAAGAGAACTGAAAGAGGTAAGAGGGCATATCCCCTGCAGCCATTCGCAAATTTATTAGCCACCTCACGCCCCCTCCTATAATATCCCCGTTCCAAGTATAATCCAAGAAGGGGACTCAAGAATGATAAGAATAAATAAGTCTTAAAACAGTTTTTCTTTGAAATACAAGAAGAATACTAACAAGAAAAACTAGACATAATACTAATTTTAAAATATAAGGTGTTACTGCAAATAAATACAAGGGACAGTAAACACTTAAATGACATTAATTTGAATCGTTTGACATTAATTTGACTTGTTAATCAATTAAAACTATTTATGCGTTTACTTAAAATTGATCTTAAATTTGTAATTAAATAGTCATGTGTGAAAGAATATTAAAAATCAAGATTAAGGAATATTTCAAAATATTTTATTCCAGCAATAAATTTTAAGTTTGCTGCAATCTTAAATTTTATATTTTCTTCTTTTTATATTTTTTGTCAATAATGCGATGACAAATTTTTAATTAGAACTCCAGTTTTCTTCTTTCATTTGAAAAAAAGCTATTTAACAATATGTGTTGTAAATAACCTACGTTGCACCTGAAACAAAAATTTATTGTACTTGTTCGATTTAAACCTTGTTTTTTAACAGTAAATGACTAAATTTCTGCTCAATTATACTTATATCCTGCATTTACTAAATTGTCATAAAATCATGCTTAAATTACATCATATACAAAAGAAAAAATTAATTAATTTTCTTTGTTTTTTTGCTTCATTTCTACGACACAATATTATTCTGTTTATATACTTATTTAACAAAAAAATTGTACACCCTAGCTTTTAGAAAAACAAAAAGAAAAACGCATATGAGATAATTTATCACCATAACTTTTTTTATTCAATTAATTTAAATATTATTTAAGAAAAATGTTTTAAAAGAGTGGCGCCTAAATATAACAATAAAAACATATTATATGATTTTTTTTCTTGACCGGAAGTTAAGAATCAACTTAAATCAGATGCATATACACCATATGCATAATATTAAAATTTAAGATCATAAACTTAACTACAGTGTATATGATAAATGCAAGATTGAAAATTTTTCCATGTTACAATTATATTTAAGATAAAACTTATGAGAGATTTGTAAAAGCGTGTATATTTGAGCAAAATAAAGAATTTAAAGTAACTCGTGTTAAAAGTAAAATAAAGACCAACAAATTTATATAAAAAAAAAAAAATTATTATTAATTAACTTTAAAAGCAATTTGTACGCCCCAATCTCTACTGTACATATATAAAAATTTTTGAACACATTATAATATAAATAGTGTACACTTATTTACAGATTAATTGAAATAAGAAGACTTATGAATAAATTCTAAGTTTAAGATTCACAATATTTTAATATTTTCTTAATTTATTTTTGACTGTTTTTGCTCTCTACTCTAAAAAAATAATGTAATGGATCAGGAAATATTCATTTCCTTTTTCAATTAAAATTTGAAATAAGCGTAATTCATATATCATATTATAATATATAATATATATATGTATATATATATATATATATATATATATATATATATATATATATATATATATTTTATTAGACTGGGACACACTACTAATATGTGAAAAAAATATGTTTGTTTTTCATTTCTTTGTGTTTTAATTAAAGATTATTTCACCTAAAAACAATTCTTTGTATAATTAAACATATAAACCGAGTACAATATAACAATTATGAAAATAGTATATTAATAATCATATATACATATTATACATAATATAGACTTTAACCATAAAAGAAAAAATAATTGGGATAAAGAGGAGGTTAAGGAATAAAGGGATTAATATTCTTAATTTATAAATATGATTATCTTTAGTGTATTTTTTTTTTTTAAACTTACAGAACAGGAAATTCTAATTTTCAAATATAGACACTAGAATATTTAACTATAAAATACTAGTACATATGGGCATAAGTGACTTAAAGACTAATATATGGAGAATAATTATACCGCCCCATAATTTTATTTTAACACAATTTTTTTTTTCTTTCTTTAATAATTAAGCGCTAAAATATTAATTGATTAGGATTCTTTTTAATAATATTAGAAATATAATCACTAATTGAATATAAGAGCAATGTATAGAAAAGTTTTTTGTAATATTAAAGATGATGGCATATAAAATGTAATAAAATTTATTCTTAAAATTAATTTAAGAAAAAAAAAAATTTATAGCATTTTCATACATCCTACACATATCTTATTTTTTTTTCGCTTTGTTTTTTCGGAGGTGGTAAATAGAAACAACTAAAAAAAAAGCAACAAAAAGAATAAACAATTTTATTAAAAAAAAAAAAAAAATTTTCATATTATAATTCCCATGGGATCCTTGAATTTCATGTATAAATGTAAAGTGTAAATGTGTGTGTATGTTTTATGAATTATTTCATGAATACTCGTACATTTAAAATTCGAATAAAGTTTACTCTTTTAAAAAATTAGATTATAATTAAAAATATCTTATATTTTAAAATTAAATAATTCAAATTATATAAGAATTTTTTATTAGTTTTATTGCACTAAACATCTAATATTATAAAAAGCACCTATATATACCATTTCACACGTTGAATCTAATCCGGGACCATTGTTTAGATTACTTCAGTTTAAAATTCGGAACTCTATTTTATCATGAATATACATTATTAAAGTCTTCATCTTTTTTTCTTTCCCTTAGATTTATTAAAACAGAAATAATACTACAGGAAGGAAGATTATATTAGATAGTGATCGTCACCAATATTATCTAAGATGCATTTCATCATGTGATGGACGGTATTATTTGAAATGATTTTAGTTTTCAAATATTGATAAAATCGAAATTAATATAGGGTTATAATATATTGATATAACAATATTATTGATTAATAATTCTATATCACATCATATATGTATGATACGTTCTAGAAAATACATGATAGAAAATCACTGATAAGAAATGAATGATGATCTCAGAAATTAAAGGGATCATAGTATTAATTTTAATTTAATTTTTAAAGTTAACTTTTTTTTTTTTCATTTTTCCTGCTACTATAGGTTTTGCTTTTGTTCCTAAAGCTTAAAGATAATATTATAGTATTAAAATTTTCTAAAAATGAATAAAAGAGCGGATTTTAAACATTTTTGGTCCCTATTCAGCCTATATAAATGTAAATAAGAAAATATCGGAATAACA